CCCACTAACATGGAGCTGTCGAGCGATTGTCGAAAGACTGTCGATAAAATAACGTGAGAGAACGTACAGAAGACCGACCTTCAAAAAAGGTAAGTGCATATTGTCGTCCGACAGACAGTAGATAGAGAGGACATAAAAAAAATGAAGATTACCGCTTTTCAAAGAATTCTTAAACTTTTGTAATAATACCGGAACATAAACATAAAATTAAACATTTGCAAAACCTAGACATTGCAGCGAATATTTTGTGATTGTTCAACTGTTCTGGTCTGGATCATATCACTACTAGTTTCGAAGAGTTAACAAACAGGTTTAAAACGATGCGCCCTAACGAAAGAGTCCGATCTGCTTTGCTGCTGAACCAGAAGAGTTCGATCTGTTTGGCTGCCAAACCAAAAGAGTCCGATCTGCTTTACTGCCGAACCAATAGAGTTCGATCTGCTTTGCTGCCTTGGAAAGTCGGGCATCTTTGGAAGGCTATAACTCCTCGTATATTTTGAATATACGCAACATAAAAAGACTAGCCTCCCTGTCCTTTACGAATGTGTACACCCTAAAACATATACCCTTTTGCTCACAAGCTTCGAGATGTCATAGAGTTTATGCGGAGCGGTCGACGAGCGCCGAAAGCAGATCGAACTCTTTTGGTTTGGCAGGAAAGCAGATCGGACTCTTTTGGTTCAGCAGCAAAGCAGATCGGACTCTTTCGTTAGGGCCGAGGGGTCGTCAACTCCCTTCGGCCGTGTACGGAGGAATATATATTACAAGTAATATGTGTAATATCGGTAATATTGATGTAATATTGTGTAATGTCAGTATTATCAAGTAATATCAAGTAATATTATGTAATATCATGTACTATCAAGTAATATTACGTAATATCAAGTAATATTACGTAATATCAAGTAATATTACGTAATATATCAAGTAATACACTGCCGCTCGAAATTAGCGGCGCACTTTTTTGAGCCGGCGTATTTTCTAAGTGTTTTGAGTTAGAATGTCGAGATTTGGCCTGTAGACGTCTCATTGGTTCGTCTTGGATCCCACGAAGTGCACATCCCTTACGCCACCCCATACGGCCTGTGCAGCCCCTAGAGTAAAGAGGGGTAGAAAATTTGACCTAAAAGGTTCCGAATTTGTCAATTAAAATGATCGGAAAGTCGAAATTTTTGGTGTACCGACTCAAATTTGTGTCCTCTTTCGAAAGGCGCTAGCGAAATCGCGGTCGTTCAAACCCACCCCCTGCCCTGTTCACCCCCACCCCCATGAAGGGGTGAGTTTTGAGGATGGTCAAAACTACCGTGATATCCTCCGCGGACACCCCCTGTACACGGAACATGTGTTGTCTTTTTTTTTGGAATTGGACAAACCCCGGCCAAACAACCCCCACGAACGTGCAACCCCTTTTCGAATATCGGCCATTTTGGAACCTAAGGGTTGAAGTTTTGGCATGAAACTTTTAGGAATGATTCCTTTTGCCATTTGGAACACATCCATGCCGAGAAACCCGGTGTCAACATCTTCAACCCCTTCCCAGGGGGTAGCTACCCCCGAGTGACTGTGCACCCCTTTGGGAGGGGATGGAGAGCTGGGTCAATGCGGATCTGTTAAAGAACTTCCCTCAAATTTTCATGTCGATCGGACCAACCATTTTGCGTACTAACTCGATAAAGTGGAATATCGTTCAAAAACTACCCCCAAGTTCAACTTGCCCTGTCGCCGAACTGAGAAGGGGTAGCGACCCCACCCAAAGCGTCCCTCCTCGGCCCAATCTTCACCTCGAAGGCCGCAGAGTCTTGGGTCCCTGCGGTGACGTTCGCGGCCGTGAGACCGATGTATATATGTAGTTCCTGTTTAAGTCCACTCCCCATTTAATAGAAATACCGGTAACACGTTTCGTAGATGCATAGACGTACACGACAACAAGTACAACAGAGGCCGCGAGCAATGCGGAGCGCTGTTGCCATCAAGTCGTCATGGCTGGCTAGTGCAGTATCGCAGGTGGTTCCGGCAACTGGCGTGGATGGCGGTCTTTTTAAAAAGCCATTATGACTGTAGTAGTCCTACGATTCACCACGCCCAGTTTCTAAATATTAACAGAAATGTTTGACCCTTCCGCGGCACCACCAGAAACAATAGACCCTATTCGGTCTCGGCTCCGGGAGAAGAAAACAGGAACCCCGACCGGAACCAGTACCTTTATTCTGCCATATCTTCGCGAGAAAACTTGCAAAGCTACCATAAAAAATTATCAGAAACATTGTGGATGGTGCTTCTACCTACCAGAGCCATTGAAACGTTAAAATAGCGTGATTTCTTGTAACTGGTTCCGGTCGGGATTCCTGTTTTCTTCTCTTCGAGTCGAGACCGAATAGGGTCTATTCTGAAGTGTGCTAAGTTGCTCGGCATGTACAATTAATGTGAAGTAATATCGAGTAATATCAAGTAATATCGGGTAATATTGGGTAATATTGGGTAATATTGTGGAATATCGGGTAATATTGTGGAATATCAAGTAATATGTGTAATATTAGAGTAATATTAGAGTAATATCAGTCCGTGTACGAAGGAATATCGGAGTTGACGACCCCTCGGTTAGGGCGCATCGAAAAGCTAAAGATTAGAACGAAATTTTGACCAAGTTTCGACAGTCGGACTACAACTTGACGTTCTAGGAAGTGGGTGTGTACTTATGTCCAGAGGTGGGAGGGGGGGTGCTCGCGGCAGCCACACCTGGACGGATACACTCCCACGCACTCGCGCGCCCGCGGCGCCTCCCCGCGCCTCCCCGCCCCGCGCAGCAGGTGCTCGTCGCTGCATCAGCTTTACGGCCGGATATCTCGTACGCGCCGCGCCGGTCCCGCACCCCCTTCAATCCCGCAACACTCTGCCGTACTGCGCGGCTTTATGCGCGCCGCTTCTGCTGTTTTACGGGATTTTCTTCCGAATCTTGTCTTCATTTTGCGCTTTGCGGGCGCCCCCCTCCTCCCACCACCTCTCTGGAGGCGCCCTGCGCCCCACCCCGCCCCCTGGAGGCCGCAGAGTCGTTCCTTCTTTCGCGACGCCGTGTTATTGCGGCCTTGGCGCGCAGCACATGCATTTAGAGCGGGAGCATTAGAATTACGCGCCGCTACGTGTGGGGAGAGCATGGGAGAGGGGAGAGAGGGGGAGGGGGGGGGGGGGGGGGGGGGGGGGGAGGGGGGGGGGGGAGAGGGAGAGAGAGGTAGAGCGAGGACGGAAGGAAAGGGAGAGTGTGGAAAGAGTAAGATGGGGGCAGAGAGATAGGGAGATAAACAGCTGGGAGGGCGGCCGCAATGGTAGGTAGGGCGCGGCGTGGGAGATACGGGATACGGCCGAGACTTCGAGCGGCTCGATTTAAATTCCACTCTAATAAAAGCTCACGGAGAATTTCACCGTTAGGCTTTTGTTTTTTCACAGTGCAGGACGGCAAATGCACGCACCACGAGGGGGTGGGAGAGCGGCAGCCGGTGACCGTGGGGACAGCGGGGTGTGTACCGTCGCCCGTCGTCATGATAAAGAAGACATCAACATCCGCAGCACGTACAATAGTGATAGTGTCGCGATGAGTTGTATAACAAGTCAGTCTACTCCTTCGATACAACGCTTCTCTATGGGTACAGTCCCGTCACGGCGTGGCAGCAGTGCAACGACTCGGGCGCCGTTCGGGCGAGACCGTGAGGCCGGAAAATTCAAAGTAAACCGATTTCGTTCAAAATGTCCACCACGTTCCTCTGATTTTGCGTGGTTGCCTCAAACTTTTCATTTCCATTTTCTCTGAGTTTTCTCTGATTTCCAGCACCTTTTCTCACGAAAATAAGTTTTACCCAGTGAACGCTTGAAGGTGGGCAGTCCCGCCTGGCCGGTGAGCACCGCGGGTCAGCCTACGCCACAGGCGCCCCAACAGTGAGCGTACGGGTAGAACTCTGAATCGAATCAAAACTACCAATAAGTAATAACTTGTATTTTTGAGACATTTGTAGCTTTATTACCCTGTATTCTTCAGAGCAACACCTGCAATGGGGTAGTTTATATCACATAGAATACTGAGGTGAATTATGAACTACCCTAAACGCAGGTGTTGATTTGACTGCAGTGTTTTAGGAAGGAGGATGTAAAACCTATAATTAAAACCTAAAATATACGATTACTATACCTGTGGCTTTTCTTTCAGACAAATTTATGGATCTGAAATTGTTTATGATGCATATTTTACACTGCTGTTAAAAATGCGTGAAATCACAACACTTTTTTGTAGTCAAGAATAGTGCATTTTGCTATCTTACTTGGAAATAGTGGTGAACCAAACGTAATGATTTCTGAAGTTATCAATTTTTGACAACGGAGAGTTGTGATTTCACAAATAGTTCTGGCAATTTTTTTTCACAATGAATTCTTTGTGAAGTTCTGACTTTTTCCAACAGTGTACCACAAAATTAAATATTGACAATACATTATCTTCCGGTCAGGTATAAGCAAATCTTCAATGAGATAAGGGATTTAACCACCATGGATGCATCAGCAACCGAAAAGTGCATGACGCGAGAAAGTATGTTTTGTGGAAACACGATAGACAGACGGGAAAGCGTAGAAAGGGGTGAAAGCGTAGTTCAAGCTGAGAGGCTTAAAAGGGTGGTGGAGGTTTTAAGGTTATTTTAGTCAGGGATGATACTTTTATTTTGAGTGCCTTCACTTCATCGAGCCGATGCCACTCCCGCGCTTTTTTATCGGACACAAAATGGCAAAGAGTAAAAGCTGGCCGTTGCTATGGCAACCTGCAAGGTAAGTAAAGCCATAATCAGTTTATCCTGACAGAGAGCAAGAGCGTGGAGGAGGGGAGCGGAGGGTGGAGGGGGGGGGGCTGCTGAGGATAAACGAGAGTTCCATCTTTCTTTACTCCGTCAGGACTATCGCGCGATCGATCCGGGTGGGAGACACACATAACCGCCGGTTCCATAAAAGCGAATGACTCGTCTTACCTATGACGGTGAGGTTGACCCGGCTGTTCCTCGTGGCCGAGTTGGAGAAGTCGGCGCGGCAGCGGTAGACGCCCGCGTCGTCCAGCACCACGCCGTCGACGGTGAGCGCGGCGGGGCGCGACGCGGCCGAGAAGTGCGCGCGCGGCCCGAGCGCCTTGGCGTCCGACCAGGTGAGGGCCTCCTCGAAGGTGCGGCCGCGCACGTCGAACCTGCGGACACCAAGCACTTGACATCAGCACGAGGACTCCGAGCGAAGTGCGTCCTCGCCGACACCTCCGCGCCGCGGGGAGCCGTGCGCAGGCGGCGGCCGAAGGCAGAGAACACTTTCCGCACAGCTCGGCGGATTTTCTCAAAGTGTCAGCAGTTTTCCTCCCCTTTTCTTCACCTCCTACCCTCACCTACTAAACATGATGACGCTCTGCTCTGAGGTGGCAGCCGGGGTGGTGACTCACTGCGGGACACCCGCCTGGCCAGTCGACGCCCCTGTTCCAAAAGACGCAACGCGCTATCCTTGTTAAGTAACATTTGGACCCCATTTTTTTCTTCCCTTGCCCGCTTTTCTACTTCCCACTGCAGTAGCGCCCGCCCTCGCACCTCGTCATCGTCTCGAGTGATCACTTTGTCTCTCTCGCTCCTCCACTCCCTTCATCCTCCTGAGCCTCTTCGCATACTTAACAGGCCTGCCTTCAATATTCGATTTCCCCTCCTCTATCAGCACACCTTGGCCACTTCGCGAGGAATTCGTTCCATCTCTTTTTCCTTCCCATCCACTCCCGCCCAAAGTCGCCCCCACCCCTCCAATTTTGTTGTGTTGCGTCTCAAAGCCATTCAGCGGTGATGATAGTAATTGCATTATCGCTTCTCTTTTCTGGGCGCGGAGCGAACGCGCGAGAGGTAAGACGCAAGCACGCGCCAGTCAGTCAATTCATATCTGAATAATTTCCAAAACACGGCCTCAGCATCCGGCCAGAGTGGATTCGTGAATTCGCTCACAGTGTTGCCCAAATATTAAGTGGAAAGGACAGCAAAGGAAGCAAGACATTGTTTGCCAGGACCCAGGCCCTAGCAATCATAGGAATCTTTTGAAAAAAAAATCTTGCAATATTATCGAAAGAAAAAAAAAATGTGCGTAGCTTGGAGTATGGTATGGTTGGCAACTTGTTTGAAAAACACATTGTTTGTAACATTAGGGAAACGTGTTTATAAATCACATTCCCAACCGGTTTTTCGAAAGCCTGCCAGGGCACTAATGTGCCATAACCGCATATGAGAAATTCCTTTTCCCAAACGAGCGGTAAGAGATGTGGGTGTGATCAGCAGTCGGGGCGTAGCAGTCGTTACCGTAAACCTTCATGGGCGGGCATCGCCCAGGGTGACTGAGGGAGCGTGGGCGGGAAGCCCGTCCGGTCCTGATGCGCCTCGACCCGCCGCAACTCTCTTCGCGACGGTCACTCCAAAGCCTCTGTTCCGCGGCAACACCAGCGGGACGCGTCTCCCCCGCCACTCGGGACGACATTCCGCCGAATAAAAGCCCCGAGAGGAACTTCCTCGCGCGGCGAGCGTTTCCAATTTTAATTGATGCGGTTTCGGGAAGCCATGTCTCTGGCTGTGGGGGAGGGGGGAAGGCGACTGATGGATCAATCTACGAAGTTGGGGACACCGGAGCGGCAAAGACTTTCATCCGGGGCTGGAACTTTGGGAGCAGCAGCGCACCGCCGCACCGCGCTGACCCTGGACCAAAGCCGCTGGCAGACATGCCCGCCACTCCCAAGCCCTGCCCGCCCTGCCAGCCCTGCGCACCGCCAGCGGTGCCAGCTCACTAGCAACACACCCAAAAGAACCTGATAAACGCAACTCGATTTCTCTTTTTTACTTTCTTTTTAAATCCTGTTTTTTTTTTTAAAGGCAGATAGAGACAGAAAGAAAAGGGTCCTGTGGATAGTCGATGGGCACGACTATCCCACAGGATCCCACACGATCGCATCTCTGAAGGCTCCGCTCGGCAGGGGACCCAACACGGCAGAGGGGAGTGAGAGCTGCGGCGAGCCAGCCTGGGCCTGGCCGGGGGCCGGCCGGG